CCGCCTGCCTCCCAGCCCTGGGTAAATTGTTCCAGTGGCTAATTCCCTTCCCTGTTAAAAGCATTCACCTTATTTCTAGTCTAAATTATCTAGCTTCCACTTCCAGCCATAGGCTCCTGTTATGCATTTGTCTGCAGCACTTGTGTTTCTGCGGGTGAGACGGGGCACCCCAGAACGTGCAGCTCAAAACGGTTCCTTTAGTCTGTCGCCTTTCACAAATCGTTGTCTCACTTGCTGCCTGCCGTCCGGTCTGTTTCAGGCCTATTGTGTCGCAGATGTCACATGATTTTGGTTGATTGTCCCTGGAGAACAATCAGTGCTCACCAGAAATTCCATGTCGTATTACCGTGTTGTAACTCTCTGGTCAGACGCTTCCTCAGCTTGCAAACATCGCTCATTTCTTAAAGAGCGTGACTCAGGCCCGGAACACATGGCTTTCTCAACAGGTGCTGCTCGGGACACTGTACACAGAGGCAATAATTAAGCAGCAAGAGGCATGAGCTGTGTCATGCTGACTTATCTCCAGGCGTCCGGTGTGGAGGCCGGAACGAGACAATTGACAGAGTTAGTTGTCCCAACAGGGCCCTCTCTCACAGGGATGCTAAAATAACCCTCGTCACTATGATTACTGGGGAAAAAAAAGGAGGACTGGCCGAACCCTTGGGTAAGTTACTGCTCAGGCCTCAGCCGGCCCTGACTCCGGTGTAAAATTGTAGTCACCAGGGGACAGGAAGGGTGCAGTGAATCTGGAAAAGGTCTAGAGGGAGAGACAAGGATGATCAGAGGGGAGGAAAACCGCCCGATGAGCCACGGCTGAAGGAACCGGGTGCATTTCTTTAGGAAGAGAGGCGAGTAAGGGGGGACATGATAGAGGAGAGGTCCCCAAAGCCTGGGGTGCATCCCATTAGGGGGCAGGGTGGAACCTTCAGGGGGGCATGATGTGAATCTGGAAAAGGTCTAGAGGGAGAGACAAGGATGATCAGAGGGGAGGAAAACCGCCCGATGAGCCACGGCTGAAGGAACCGGGTGCATTTCTTTAGGAAGAGAGGCGA